GCAGTCCCTGCACTTCTCATGGAGATAAGTCAAGCCTCTAGCTGTCCCTAGTGCCACCTGGTACCTCGTTTTCCAATCCATAACATCTGACTGCTTTTCGGTAAAAATATGTGAATCCAAGGATCCATTTTCCATGTAATCATAAACCAGCAGTTTCTTGTTACCTTCAGAGCAAAATCCACGAAGGCGTACAAGATTAACATGTTGGATTGTCCCGATTGTGCTGACTTCTGATCGAAATTGCTTCTCTCCCTGGCTGATGCTATCGAGCCTTTTAACAGCAATAACAGATGAATCAGATAGTTTCCCTTTGAAAACAGAACCAAAGCCTCCACCACCCAACTTCTCTGAGAAATTTTTAGTCGCATGTTGCAAGTCTTTGTAATCAAATGCAACCAATGAACCCTCCACTATTTTCCCACTTCCAATATGCCTACGCCTTCTCCGGAATACAACAAAAAGAATGCCCAGAAGGATCAGTACGGCAGCAGCAGACCCCACAGAAACACCAATTGGAATTCCCTTTTTACTCTTTGATTTTGGGATGTCAGATGCAGCTACCCTGACATAGATCAACTCACCCCTGCCATCATTTTGTGGGAGTTGCTGCATATTCAAGAGTTCACCATTCCAAATTGAGCATGAACTTTCATAAGTATAAGCAGTGCAAGTGCAATTATTCAAACAGGTAGATCTGCATTCTTCAGCACTTCCAGCAGAAATATTTTGAGCATTTTCAGGTACTTTCATCTGGGGATGCATCCAAAAGTCATCTTTCTCCCCCTTACCATTGCCACATTGCGACTTCGTTTGCCTCTCACATCCTCCAGAAAAATCATTTTGATTCCAATCAGTCTCTGAACTATGCTTGAAACCATCCAAACAATTACAGAAGGGATTGGTTTCCTGACAGGTAGCAAATGGCCCGCAAAATGCATAAACTTCACATTGTTGTCTTGGCTGAGACCAGAACAGATTCCACTGATTCGAAGTATTCAACCATGTGAGTTGCTTAATCTGTCCAGAGCCATCCATAATGAATCTTGATATGATAGAATCATCATAAAGGGAATATGTAAAATAGCTTTCATTCTGATTGTCCTCATAGCTAAAATTGTAAATATAGTTAGTCCTCATCTCAGGCACATCTCTGAAAATTCGATTATTCCATGGTCCAGTATTCCAATATTGCTCACTTCTATTGAACCTTATAATATACTGCTTCTCATTTGGGTCGAGTTCAAGTGAATACAGCCCAGGTGTAGGATCGTCTGCACTCTTCCATGAAGTAAGAAGTTGCTTTGTTCTGGTGGCTTTGTTGTAAGAAAGTTTAGAACCAGGCAACCAAGTATTGGTGGGGTTATTAAAACTTTGCCAAAGTGGTGGTGTTGAATTAGACCCATCTGTCAAGATCAAATTACCATCATCTCGGAGGACTGCTACAACAGAACTCGAGTTGCTGGAACTGATATTTGTGGACCAAATTGGAGTTTGAGATTCATCCACCAGTACTAAATTACCATCTAAGATCTTTAACTCTGCAGTGCTCTTATCAAGAACTGGTTTTTCCCTGTTTGCAACCCAAACAGCAGTTTGTTCAACCACTTTATCGTACCACATGCCTATGTAGTAGTTGGAAGAATTACCTGGTTGGAAGAAACCAAGTTTAAATTTTCCACCTGAAGAGATAATTGTTTGGTCTCCAGAAAGGGATTGATTTGCAGAAATGGTGTCAGCAGCTTCAATGGAGAGATGGGTTTTGAGAGAGAAGCATAGGTACATCAAAGAAAAGAGGAGAAAATAATTGTTTTTGATCTCCATAGCTGCTCAGAGATTGTTCAGAGGACAGAGAGATTTATATCACTTTTTGGGAGAAGCCATTCATGGGATTATCTTGAAGAATGGGTCAGTTTGAAAATGGACAAATAAACTTTCATATGACTGCTGGTGTCAAGTCAACAAGACAATCTTAAATTGACTTTTTCACCCTTAATCCCTCTGTCCAAAATACAAAATTATTAAATAAAGAAGTGATTAGAGAAACAATAATTGAATTAAAAAATAGAAAACAGTTGTTTTAAACAAGAACATGGACTTACTTTTTGATCAATAAATGAGGAAAATGAACTTTCAACTAGCAATAGTACCATGGTTACATAAAGACTCTAAACAAATTTTCATTGTTATATTGTTCAATATTCAAAACTGACCAGATTTACGTTGTCAAATTCCAATAAGTTATTAATGGATCAAAATATTTGGTCAAGCTGTTCATATCTTCTATGTGGGAACAGTAGATGAGCGAGAATTCTTGGTGCATCATAATTTGGTAGGCATAAGTTCGACTGCGAGGGGTAGAAGTTAAAAATAAATTCATTTGAAGAGTAAACTATCTGATTAAATTTCATAATTTACCAAACATATAGTCTATACCAGACATGAAATATTCTGTTGTCGATGGTGACGAATTGATAGCATTATAGACAAATATTTAAATTTGTCACACATCATAAAACTTCATTTATGACATAGCTGAACAGAACAAATATTTCATATAGAGAATGGGTCAACCATTAAAATATGAATATGTTATTGATGCACAATAGCATGAGGTATAACAGTTTTTTCAACCATCAGCAAGTCCTTGAATTTCATTCCAGAACAAATATATTTTCTTTGGTTTTTAGTTTGAATTCTGAACCATGAATAATCCAGGGGCATGATAGTAATTCTATGAGCTAATGGAAAACACAGCTGGAAGAGAGTTCCCCAACTTGCTATACACGAGGAAGAAAAGTCAAGGCTAAAGATTTTTCACTCACCCATTGTAGCACCTAATATATCAATGGAGATTATTAAAAGTAGCAAATGACAGTCACCTAGGATGTGTTTGTAGAATATTTTCATATTTGGTTAGCTTAATGTTTTGAAAAATATTTCCTAAAAAGTAACTTTTAAAAAAAGGAAAAATATGAAAAATGTGACTTTCAATATTAGGAAGAATAAATTTCATAAATAGCATTCCAAAATACCAAAAAGTGAGACCTAATGGTCAATCAAGAGGGTTGACATAAGATTATTAAGTGATTTCTTCTCATCTATTTGAATCTTGGTAGATAGAATTACCTTATATCTATAACATTTCAAGTTTATTGTCTTCTCCCCACCCGTCCAATGTCCCCGACCCCTTGACCAACTTATCCCCACCGCCCTTGAACCCTAACTCCCTGTCTCATCCACTCCTATAATCTTTTGCTAGATTACATATTTATTTATCAAATACTAAAAAATAAGTAAAAGAAACACACATGTTTTTTGGAGAAAACATTACCAAACACACCCCTAGTTTAGCTAAATCCGATAATTCCATTAGCATTAATCATGATTTGATAAGTCATTATCAAATTGAATAAGTCTCAGCTACCCACATTAACTCTTAGTGGGGAAAAATAAATGCTTAGCCAACCGCCACTAAAGTGGATCCAGATGTCCAGTAGGTTTCTCTTACCAAATATACACCAATCTTTTTCTTCTAAGATAACGAGCAATAAATCGAATACTTAATATATATAGACATGATTGATTTATATTAATAATAATAAATTGTGCAAGAAAGCTACTGATTGGCAATACTACTACAATTCATTGGCCAACCATTCACGTCCTTTTTCACATTTCGTGTGAATTGGGCGCAGATAGAAGTGGACTAATAGGAAATACTCTATATATTTTATCAACCCTTCGTTTAGATTCAACCATTTAGGTGAGAATCATTTTACCATTTACTTTTGATGACTTTGTACATAGAATAACTATAGCAAACTTAAAAAGTACTCCATTTGATTAAAAATAAGTATCATCTTAAAAATTCAAGACAAAAAATTGTGTATGTTTTTTCAACTATACTCTTACTCTCCATCTTTTTAATAGTGTTTAATTCTCAAGAAACATTTAGTAAATAAGGATAGTTTATTAAACTATACATTGTATTTACTGATTTCCTAAGATGAACGAAAGGAGTACATAATTTCAATTTTCCCCACACAGTCCTAAAATATATATTTTTCAGATGAAAGATGGTCAACTTGATCACCCTTCCATCTATGTAGCTATACCACTGCAGCAAGTCCCCAAAGAAGTTGTGGAGTACTATTTGATAGGTTTATATTTATTCTGCACTTACTAATTGATCAAGTAATCTACAATTTGTGTTCCATAGGAAATAAGGTAGCACAGAAATGTGCAAATGGATCAGATGGTATTTTAAGTAAGATTTATAAACTTATCATTTTAATCTTAAAACTAATGAAGCGATTTCCTACAAGGAACAGCTGTTTAAGAGAGATAATAAGGTTAAAGCTAGGATGCTAATCCACTTATGGGGTTTCGGGAGGGTGGTGCGTACAGAGTCCAATCCCTACCTTGTGAAGGTAGAAATATATTTCCGATAAACCCTTGGACTCAAAAAAGAAATTCAGCAACAAATAAAATATTTTATTTAATACTGCTGAATGATAGTCTTATAAATCAGAAAGCAACAGATGTTGACTACCAGAACCTTTTTTTTCAACAACTACGCTGTAAATTCCACCCCAGTCATGTCAATTCAGTAAGGATGAAAACAAACGCACCTTTGAAGTTTGAACCTTAAAATACTCTTGATTATGAAGGACTAGAAGCCACAATCCCCCTGCATAGCATACACGTTGGAATATTATAACTTTGAATCCATCCACACGCCAAAGACTCAGTCAGACATCAAATAGCTGCATCATTTTCTTTTTCCCTTTTCTTTCTTTCTCATCCAAATTTGATATTTGCAGGTTGCAAAGTACAAAAAGAACATTTATGTGTCTAAGGCTATGTAACTTTTTTAATCATGAAGAAACATTTATCACCAACCATGTCTTAAAGTAAATTGTGCATGTTATTATATTGTCAAACAAAGTTTAGCTTACAGATAGTAAAGTACATAAAATGTATGCATCTTCCTCAGGCTAAAAAGTGTACACTTCAATCCAACTTAATTTAAGTATTTAACTCAACTAAAGAAAGAACTGCAACTGAAATCCCTTCAAACAAACGCGATTAAGTGCCTGCTAAAAAAGTTCACAAAGACAAAACAGGTACAAAATGTTCTGTTATATGAGAATTCCTATACCAGACTTTCCAGTGGAGCATCCTGTCTGGAACCATACTTGGTGACCACTGGATACACCATTAACTGGGATGATTGGCTAGCATTTCCTGGAGATTGGAACTTCACTGCAAGAGAGTCAGAAACATCCAGCATCAAACAATTCACACACACACAAAAGAAAAGAGAGAGAAAGATGCTGCTTTTTATCATCCAGCAAATATATAGAAGTTTCTCTAGCAATCTAGTTTACATATCATATATGAGACTATGGACCCATGGTGGATCGTATTGATCTCTCTAGAAAAGAGGACCATTGCCGATGTCACCAGTCAAGAACCAACGGAGCTATTTCCTCAAAAGAGAAACATCGGCAAACATTTAATCTCTTTATTCCTTCACTGCAGAAGAAGGAACTGCTGAATATATGCATAAACTATCAAAAAGAAACAGAAACTCACATTCAGGTGTGTGAATTATCTTTCAGCAATCTATCAAAAGAATTATCTGAAGAAGTAAATCACAGGATATTTGAAGTAGCAACACCTTTGGTGGATGCAAACACTCTTCCACGGAAATTCTGGACAACAATAGCATATTACGCAATCTGATCTTGTATACCAAACTAAATCGTTGTAACAAATATAACAGGTCAAAGAGTATATTTTGCTATTAGATCTTCTAAGGAGGTTGCATTTGTACAAAATGGAGTATACTTCCTGTTAGAGTGTATTAAAATATTGAGATATTCACTTGTCCACAATCCGTGAGAAAAGTTTAACAAAGTAATATGAACCATGTGGAACCAAGTAGGAAACTGAACTCTTGACCTCTTCAAATTTGATAGATGATCTCGAGACATACAAGTTAAATCTAAACTAGATTTCCTTTGCTGCTTCTACTGACAGCAAGTTCAACATCATTACACACAGGAATGACTTCAGAACCTGTGTATTTAAAAATAGCTAGGGAAGGACATCTAGTAGTTTAATCAGGATCTGTATCCACAATCTTTACTCCTTGCCTCTCTCTTCTCAACAACCTCACCCTACTAACATGAATAGCTGCTCTAGAAATTTGTCTCTTTCTCTTTTTCCTCCCTAATTGCATCGTACTGGTGCATCCAAAGGAAGACTTCATGTCAATGACTCCAACTTTTTCAGATCTTTTAATTCTGAGCCTCTGGCATAAGAGCTTTGATGCTTGTTGGATTCGACAAATGCCTCCAAAGTGGTAAAGGGGGTCAACATTACAAGCAGATGAAGATACGATGCCTTTGATATTAATTGGTTTGACAAACTCAACAAATTTTTGTAACTCGGGAAAGCATGAGTGATCAGAATATGGAACTGTATATATGTAATGATCATGTCTCCCTGAACTTAATGAACCTCCATTTGTCTTGCTTGAGGTACTAGAGGTTGTAACACCTGTGTGCCACCTGTTATGAAGGAGCAACGGAGGAGATTCCAAGGAAAGTTTTTCCATTCCTCTGAAAGCTTTTGGCGCCCAAGGGAGACCAGATGGCATGATCCCTATGGTCGGACGCATTGTATTTAGTCCCTCCAGAGTCTCAATGTTAAAACTATAACGAGGAACAGCACGAATCCTTGTCACTGAAGTTTTTGTCGTAAAGATGTCATGGAACCCAAGAAGATGCATAGTTTGTAAGCGTTCTGGCCACACCCAAATCTGCAGGACAGTTGAAGAGCAGTTGAAGCACAAATACTTGACAACGGGTCAGCAGTGTCCAAGAGCACATAAAAAAAGGAATACCATTTTTAGCTTCAAACACAAGTATACTAATAATTTTCAGAAGGAAACAATCTGAAGATTTACTTACTAGGTGTAACTTGAAATTGCAATTTTTAGAGCAAGAAGCAAATATTTAACAACAGAGAGAGAGATGATATCTACTGGTATCCTACGTTAGTATTACTACCTCCAAACAATAGAACATAGAAACTTATTGCCAGGATAACCGCATTTCTACTGACCATTTAGAAACTTGTAACTTCTGGTAAACTTTGGATCTCATATTATTGACTCACCAAAGAAATTGTAGTGTTGATTATGTTGTAAAGGTTATATCGTAAAGGTAGGAAAGTACCTTTGTTTTCAGGACACGTGATATGTACAGCAGAAGATTTTCTTTCCCTAGTGTGTCAACAGCAATGACAACATCATGATTAGGATGAGAGGATATGATGCTTAAAACCTGGAATCATTTATCAGCAATTAAGCCAATCTGTCAATATTATGTACTGTAACTTCATCAAACATGTTTCATACGGAAAAGAAGCAAAATTATTAAACAGCTTCTACAAGTTGGAACTTCACAGCTTGAGATTGAAAAGGGAACTAAAATTTATAACATGGCATAAGACACAGGATGGTTGATGATTTTTACAAAATACCATCAATAAAAGCATATGTTGCACAGTAAAATAAGTGAACTACTGGATAAATCCATAGAAAAAAGCTACACATCTAAGCAAAAAACTTTTTAAAATTGTACTGATCAGAATAATCTTTTGATGTAAGAAGATTATGCTAAAGAAAAGTTCAACAGAGCTTCAGGGATACAAGGAAATGATATTTGTAAAGAAACCATATTCATTGAAGTAAACACTCAATCAACTGGTCGCAGTACACCAACAATGTCTTTACACAAAAAAATTGCTGCCAAAAAGATAGAAATATGAAAAGAGCATTCACCTGTCTAGCAGCAACCTCACGTGAAGGAAAACAATATGTTGGGTTACAATAAGTATTATCCAAGTAAAGCATGTCGAGCTGTACATCCTTCATAGCTTTAAGCAGCATGGTCCTTCCAGTTTGTGCTCTCTCACTTGTGCTCTCCCAACGGAAATCCCCAGTATAGAGTGTGCAGCCAAATTCACCACGAAACAGATACATTACTGCTCCTGTATCAGTGCTTATACTTTAGCAGAAGAAATGGGACAACCTCTAGAAATTTAAGCATGATAACTAGTCGTTACAACTTCAAGCATGATAAGATGTAAGGTTCTGTGTTGACAGGAATGAGATTCCAAGCAGGTATAAAGGCCAAACTTCTTAAGAGCTAAACACTACAAATACCCTTTTTAAATACTACAGAGAGATGCAAAAATCATGTCACCTCTTCTTTAACTTTACAACAGCATATAAACCACCCCCAACACACAACAGCACCACCAAAACCTCTCTTTTTCCCCATAACAATAAGGAGAAAAATGAACAACAAAAGGGTTCTGAATATTAATACTCCAAGAAATATATACTCACCATTAAAAAAGGAATCACTACCACTTCATTATACCCATAGTTCCAAATGAGAATGGGTCAATTTATATAACAGTACTAAAGACTAATTGTCAGGTCAGCAAAAAGAATCGCTTTTTAGAACTAATTTTGTCAGCGAATATCTATTCAAGTGTAAATTGCAACTACCCATTAATGTTATTCCAACAGTAAACTGCAGAGATTGAATTACATGAAAACTTGCATCACATGAGAAATTAATCAAACACTTAGTGTGCAAAAACAAAACAAAATTGCGCCTATTACAGCTATATACCAGGGCAATGATGTGCATCAATAGCCATGAAAGAGACAGCAGTAGAAGAACCCGAGGAAGGAGATAGTAGAGAAACAGAGTGCCATTGACCAATTTCAACAATGTGAAGAAGAGAAAGGTCGAATCCTGGGAATTTAATCGGAAAGAGCTTAGCAGTAATGCGGGAGCAGTAAAGAGGTCCCCTCGACCATTTCGAAGTGAGTCCGCTCAAATGATCGGCATGAAGGTGAGTTAGAAAGTAGACTTGGCTTCCAGCAGTCCAACGATCCACTGATACCATTCCACTCTCCATAGATCCCTCCCTGCTTCAATGACTATCAACTATTCTGCATAACTGCGAGCTACAGGCAAAGAATTTCTCGATTCTGAGCGTGTACGCTTACGCGGGGATAATCCAGATGGGAGATTGGGGGGAATTTGAAGAGAATTTTGGTTGGCGGGGAATTTTGATTTGAAACTTCAATGGTGGCGCTCTTTTTTGTTTGCGGGGAAAATTCGGGAATGAGGATTGAGCCCAACTTTATATGAACCAAGATCTTATGTAGTGCAACGGCCCAACTAGTCAATCTTAATACTCCCCCTCCGCATTCTGTCTCACTAATTAATAATTTTAAGTGAGATATACCATTATATATGTATTTTTGCTATTAGTACATTAAAATAGGAAGAGAAGTAAGTGAAATAGGAGAGAGTCGAGTGAGATAGTATATGTATTTCAATTATATATTAATCATATTAGAAATATGTATCTAAAATATTAGATATATTTTGAAATACAGATACATAGAAAGAAAAACGAGTAAGCCAGGAAGAGAAGCGAGTGAGATTGGAGAGAGGTGAGTGAGAGAGTCAAATATATGTGAATCAACTGGAATATAATGTATCTAGAATAAACTACACTTGACTTTGATATAATGTATCCAAGATACATGTATCTAGAGTCTAGACACGACAGATACATGTATCCGAAGTCCAAATTCTGATAAAATTCATAATATTGAAAACTCGCCTGAAGGAAAGTAATTTGATCCAAAACTTATGAAATTTGTGTTATTTGCCTCAATTTATATGATGTAATTTGATTGGACCTGTAATTTTAAGAAAGAGATTCTTTAGAAAAACTTGTGGTCTAAATCATGTGGCTATAAATCTATCTTATTAGGTATAAAATTTGTATTTATTTTAAAATTAAATTATTACTAAATATATATTTTTTTAAACAAACCAAAAAAAAAAGTGTGTTAAATTGAGATAAAGAAGTAATCAAAACCTGCGAATCCCGAAATTATGGAGATATTGAAGATCATGACTTTCGGACAAAAATTGTAGTCTATTCGGGTGATACAGAAATTGTAATTCTACTAGATGTCTATATTAGTCTTATATAACCACTTAATTATACAAATATTCCTATTATAAATAGAATCAACTCTATAGTTTGAAAATAATTACATATTTAACTAATTAATAATTTTTACTAGTTTTTAAATCAAACACAACACTTCTTCAGATTTCAAATCAAATATATATTTGATACGTGTATTTTTAATACCAATGCAAATATGTAGGGAGAGATGTGAGAGAGAGAGTCAATGCATCCAAAATACAAGCAAATCACTGTTAAATAAAGTGTAATTGAAATAAATTATACTTAATTTTACCCATACATATACGAGATACATGCCAAATATTTACATTTGGTGAAGGAAGATAATTTCAAAAACTAAAATGAAGATACACAATTAAACGTTAAACTAGTAGGGTTTACATTATTTACTCTACATAACCACTTAAAGCTAGCTCATACAAAATTTATCCGAATCTCTTTTAAAAAAATTCTAATTTTACCATCGCGGTGGATGGTCCCACCCTCAATCTAGTCTCTCAACCTCGTAAATATGCAGGTCGCTCATGTCCATTTCATGTTAGGAGACAAGAATTGGAAAGAGTGGATAAATCTCACAATGTAAAGTCCTTTTCTAGTACTCTTACTTCAGCTAAAGCTAACAAGTGTGTGTTCATATATATTTTGCATCATATAATATTCCAAAAATTACACATTACGTCCAAAGATATTCTCAAAAATATTGACTTTCACAACTAAATTTTAAAACTTTGCTTTTAGTATACTGTAGTAAAAATGTTATTCGTACCAAAAGAAAATATCTAATTTGAGTTAAATGCATAATAATTTTAGCGTCGAGAATATCAAAAGCTCTTCATTATTTTGTCCTTCATATATTGTTAAAAATTGACACTGATTTATTGTGTTTTCTTCCAGACATGTTTAATCGTATATTAATTGATTTTCAATAACTATTTATGATCTTCGATAATAGATTTAAGCGGATGATGTTGTATTCCCTCTTCATTGATAATCTTGACAATCATTAAGCAATATGTTTCCACTTCTATTGCGTCATAATATATTTGGTTTTGTGACATTTAATTACTTTTTGCTTGATGATCAATACTTCTAAATTAAGGTTTGAAACATACTTCATCTTACATATATATTACAACAATCACTTTTAAATGATCATCCCTAAAGATTAATTTAAAAAACCAATATTTTCAAATCGCATTGTTACTATCAATGTTTAATTTTATCTCTTGGGGGGAGACCAAGTAATTAATTAGATAAATTTGATTAGAAAATATTTCAACAATTTCTCAAAATTGTATGACTCATGATATTACATCAAATAGTAACACAAAATAGGACAAATAAATAATAAATCACCGCAACTTCAATCTTGAATATTGATTCATTGTTCACCTTATGTTTAAATGACGATGAGGATCGATCAGTAGCTCAAGATATCAATTGTTACCTGTTTTTTAACTAGTAGATCGTCGAAGATCATAGTATGAATATCTTTTAAATATATTGAAGGAAAGAGAAGAAGAAATGAAAAGGCCGATTATAAGATAAAAGAATACTCCCTCAATTTCATATTAATTGAATTGTTGAGACATTTTTCATTTTTAATTAACTTAATTGTTCAATTTTCAAGTCTACTTTTAAAATGTTTTTCCAATTTTACCCTTCATTAGTTAGTATTGGAATTAGTTACTCTATTAATTAATGTTTAGTTATTTTAATCATAATTTTGATAATAATTAATAAGGATAAAAATAGAAAGTTAAGCCTAATTTATATCTTAATCTTCTTTTCTTAAAGGTGTGAAACACCTCAACAATTTAATTAATATGAAATGGAGAGAGTACCATCTTTGTCAATAAAAATGAAAGTTTTGATAATCAATTATTAAATTGATAGGTCAGAAACAAAATTCTTAATGAGTATTAATAGTTCGAAAGTGAATGGACACGTGGACGATCTAAATTGGAGCCCTAAGATTATACGTCTTTGCCGCTACGTTACTGGCATTTATTATTGGAAAAAAAAACGTTATATATGATGAAAAAAATATCAATTTTTTTTCTTAATTGTGCATGCAAAAACACGAGCTTTTCGCAAAAATGTTTTTGTATGGTCACTTATAAATTTAATTAAAAGAAAATGTTTTTTTAGATTATTTACGTATAGATATTTCATACAAATAAATTTTTTAAAACATATAAAACTAAAATATATTTATTTCTTTTAAGTTTGTTTATTAAAGAAAATGACATATATAAATTTCTTACTTTCCTTTTTTTAATATATAATTTTACGCTTATAAAGATACTTCCTCCATTTATGTTTATTTATTCACAGTAGACTCGATTTATTCTTTAAGAATTGATGAATTAAATGACACTTTTATTGTATTACTCTTAATTATTATTTTCTCAATTCAATAATAGTTGTTCACTATACTATTTTGGGATATTCAACAATGCTTGTCCACTTTATCAAAATCAATGGATAATTTTACACTTAGTTTATAATTTATCCTTATCATTAATTATATAGTCATTTATGTATTACATTTTTCAAGACATTATATTTATTATATTCAAATAGTGATAAATAGTTTTTTGTTTATAGGTTCTTAAGAAGTGTGCAAAGTAAATAATGGACATATATTGTTGGACAAAGGAAGTATAAAGGGGTGTTTGGATTGACTAAAAGTTAGTCAAACCTATTATTAAGTCAATTTTTTATTTTTGGAAGGGTTTGACAAATATAAGAAACAACTTAAAATAAGTTAGAAAGTGTTTGATAATGTCAAAAATGGCTGAAAATAAGTTTAAAACCAAAAGTAGGTCCCCCTACTTTTATTTTTTGACTTAAAAGTCATTTTAATTTGATTTTTTATTTATGACTTAAAAGCTATTCCCTTCGTCTCATTTTATATGTCACCCCTTTCTATAAATAGTTGATCCATAATACTTGTCATTTCATGAAATCAATGCATAAATTACCATATTGTTCCTTTTTACCCTTGTGAGTTATTAGCCTTGAAAATATACATTTGACCAACTTAGAAAAACTAAGTAAATGATCCATGTTCATTGGTTAAATTAATTAATCAAAATAAATTAATTCATATTCATTGATTGAAAAACTTGAGTTACCAAAAAAAAATTAAATAAGGATAGAAGGGTAAAGTTACATTATTTCTTAATGCAAGTGCAAAGTAAAAATGTGACATATAAAATGTGACGGAGGAAGTACTTTTTAAGTCAATCCAAATGGACTCTAAGTCATCTAAATATTAAGAACAAAATTAGATTATTAATTAAGTACTAATTAATAATAAGAATAAATTAGGGTATTTATCTCTTGATTTTTCAAATTAGGCAAGTATTCTCTCTATTATTTTTATTTGTCTATTATTGACTAGACAGACTCTTAAGGAGTAACAAATAAAATTATAATTTTACTATGTCACATTTTGAATATAATAAATTCAATCCATTGAGAAATAACTATAACTATAACTAATAATAGCTAATTAGGAACTAAGTGTTATATTATCTCTTGATTTTTTAAACTGGACACTATTTTTGATATAATGGATAAATAAAAATGAAGAAGAAAGTAAGAGATATTTATTTTTAGAGTCGGTTTGAATTGACTTTTAGCTTATAAGTTAAAAGATATAAGCTAAGATTTCTAACTTATGACTTATTTTTATATAACTTTGGCTTAAAATCAAGTATATTGTGGATAAGTAAAAGTGAACAAAGAGAAGCGAAGGTTTCTTTTATATCAATAGTGTGTCGGGGAGGTTAGAGAAGATGAATTGGATCAAGAGGCGATACTTATGCCTCTTCTTTCTCGATAGAATTTCCATCATTTTCCAGTCTACGACGAAGAAAACAAAGACTAGGCACCAAACATGTTCTACCCTTGGCCGCCATCCGTCATTAATAATCTTAATTGACTTGTCAATTACTATCTTATTTATTTATTTTTATTTTCCATATGATGCCATTACCTACAGCCAAAACAACGTCATGCATGCATAATATACTTTGGTAGTTATATAAGTACATTTTAAACCAACATGAATTGTCGTACACTGGTGGGAGTGTTTCACCCTTAATCAGAGG